CTGTATTTGAAAGGCATTCCACTCTCCACATTGTGTGTGAGCTGGGCTGCGACTGTGATAAGGAAAACACTCACAATGGCACACAGGAATTCAGTCCCCAGGGCCTGTGACTCAAACTCAGCGTGGCTGAAGTTCCTCCTAGAGCCCTTTGCTTAAGTTCCCATTTTAAGGGGCGTCTTCTATTAATAAGAACTGCTTTAAAAGCCTCTCCCCCGCTCCTGCCCTGAACAGCCTTTCTTGAGCTGTTGAGAGACTTTTCTAAGCCAATAAACTCAGTCAGGCAAGTCCCAGCTACCTGCCCCACAACCTGAGCAAAGCCAGATCCATCCTTGCTCCCCAAAAAGGTGACTCCAACTGACAGGCCAAGCTCTCACTGGGATGTTTAAGTGCTGAATGCCAGCCACTCTGCCTGCAGGAGCTGGGAAGGACTGAGGGATGCTCGTGCCTGCCTTGATGGGAGAAGCAGGCACCTACTCTCTAACAGGCTGAATTCCTTCCCTGCAGCCCAGAGCATTAGAGGGTAAAACAAGGTTGAAACTAATCTGTGCTGGATTAGACCTGCCACCTTGATGCACGAGGCTGGACAATGTGATTGCATTGCCCAAAAAGAGGGGAATGACCAAGAGGGGAGCCCAGAAGAGAGTTTCAGGCTGGAAGACAGAAGCCAGCACTAGGACTCAGCTATCCTTCAGCAGCACATGTGCACTCAGTCTACTGCCTGCCAGACCCATATCCCAGAGAGAGCTCTGGGGTAGAAACCAGCCAGGAAAACAGGGCTGGAGGGAGCTAATTGTTAGGATGAGACAATGAGATTAAGCCTGATAGGAATTGGGCCTGATAGGTTTTATTAGGAGCACTTGACTGTTTTACAGCCTTAGGGCTCTTCAGTGCTGGGGAAACCCCCTCCCTGGCTCCAGCCACAGTATCAGCCCAAGTTTCTGTATCAGCTGTTTGTCAGGGAGGTGTGAGGCTGTTTGCTGCACTCCCCCATTGCCACACAGAGCTGGCAAAGCACAGCAGCGTGGGGGTTGCTGCCCAGAGCACAATGGCTTCTGAGAATCCATGGGCATCTGCCACCCGTGCTATCTGCAGCTTGGTTTTGAGCTGCTCAAACCCCATCTCGTAGTGCTGAGCCAGCACACAGGGCATCAAGGATGCAAACAAGCAGCTCTGTCAGTGGGAAGTCACGTAGCTTGTTTCATTTTTGTCACCCAAACCTCAGCCAAAGAAAAGGCCAGAAGTGATGTCAGCTTAGGGGAGAGATAGGGAACCTGTCCCTTGCGTGGGAACAGCCCTGAGCCTCGGGACACAGCAGTGGCACACCCCCAGCATCCCAGGGAGCACAGCTTCCCAGACTCAGTCCTGCAGCTCCTACCAGCTTCAGGCTCGTGTATCCACCTTGTGCCTGTGTGATGCTGGAGGACGGCTCTGGAGAAGCAGAAACTGCAGTAGGTACAACACAGTCCCCTGAGCCTCAGCCCAAGGGCCAGCACCACCTTGGCTAGGGGAGGTGTGTTAGACCCAGCTACACGCCTACACGTCTTGGTGCAGGGTGTGCTGTGTCTGCCTTCCAGCAGCAAGTTACAAAGGCTCCTTTTAAACCAAGTGCTCTTATTCTACACCTTATGCCACGACATCTCTTTTCCCGCTCTTATTCCACAGCACATCCTCATTTCTAGTTAATTGAATAATTTCTAATGACTTAATTCCCTCTCCAGTGACCTAAACTTCACCTCTACTGTCTCACTGGAGGAGCATATTGCCACTTTTCAGAGCTTAGTCAGTGTGAGGGCAAGGTGAGCCCATCTCCTCTAGGCTCTCATCTTGTACAGCAATTTGATTTCTGCACTTGTAACACCAAGGTGTCACTAACTAAAGGAGCACCTAAGAAGTGCAAGAAATCCCAGCACTGTTTGCTTCAAGGTTAAAACCTTCTTTTCACCCTCAGAACTGCTCTTAGCTGGGAGGGATGCCAACAGAACTGCCCCCACAATCATGCCAAGCAAGGGACGGGGTAAGCCTGGAGCTCGGGGGAGAAGACCTTGCCTGACCCTGGCATGAAGGGCACGAAGCCCAGTGCACTTTGCACTAATCCAGGAGGTTCCATTCCCCCTGCCCGAGGTTTGTGGGACGTCCAGCTATCCTGGGCAACCCATTCACCCGCTGTAAGGAAAAGCTAGGGAGGCTGGAGTCAGCTCTGAGAAGCAGAAACTTCTTATTCGGGGAAGAAAAAGTTGAAGCGCTCGATACAGCAGAGAGGAGGTTAAAACCCTCCAGGAGAACAATAGTCCCCATTCTTGCTGGAGCACGTTCCCAAAGGGAATCGCATAGCAGTGAGCCCCCGGGCGCCCACCAGCCCCTCGGACCTGCCGGTGTGCGATGCACGGGGAGAAAAGAGCCGCCTGAGAGGGCAATACCAGCGCATGGAGAGCGATCCCGTAGAAACCCCGCTTCCTCCTCCGGCCGGATCCCCTCCCCAAAGGGGTTTGAGCAGAGGGGTCTCCAGCTCCGCCTGCACCCACCGCCCACCTCCTCCTCTTCCTCTTGCCCCGCCCGCCGCGGCAGCCCCCTCCCCACTCCCCGCGGGGGTCGGGTCGGGAGGCGGCCCCAGCCCCACCTTATTGATCTCCTCCAGCCGCCCGTCCTGCGGGGCCCTCCGCAGCCCCCCGCCGCTCGGCCGGCGCGGAGCCGCCATCGCACCGAGCCTCCCCGTGCCCGCCACCGCCTTAAATAGGGGCGGGCAGGGCCGGGCCCTCCGCCCCCCGCCCTTAACCCATTCCCCGCCCCAGCGGGCGGGTGCGGAGCCCGCATCGCCCCGCGCCGGGACGGCAGCGCGGTACCCGCGGTGGGCTGCCCGAGCACGGGGGGAGGCACCGCCGCCTCTGGGCTTCCCGCACAGAGGGAAGGGACCGGCTCCTGCTGCCCGCACCGCCCGCCGGCTGCGACTCCGGGACACCGGGGATGGCTCCGGAGCTTCCCTGGGAGCGGCATCGCCCCGCCGGTACCGGCGGCAGAGCGACACGGGCGGGATGGTGCAGCCGCTTCCAGGCGCTGGATTAACCCTGGAGTGCGAGCAGCGGGAAAAGGGATGGGCCGAGCGAGCCTCGGCAGAGGTGATGTCCCTCGGCCCGTGGTCAGGGTCGCACGCCCCCGCCGTGTCAGCCTGACATCTTATGTTAAAATCATGTACTAACGCGGAGTTTAGTGGGAATTTTCAGACATTTGCCCCTCACGACCCCAAATGTCGCTGCATCTCAACCCCTGCTCTTTAAAAGCAGCAAATCCAGGTACAGTGTGCTCTCCTGCCACCCCACACCCTGTATGGACAGCTGTGTGTTATATTAAGGATTTTTAATGGATACAGCTCTAGGCAGGCGGCACCAGCTAAAAACACAGAGTTCCAGGGAGAGCAGGAGGCAGCGTGAACCACATCTTCAGCAGCAGGCACACAGCAGAGGCTTGACATTTCTGTAAGAGCAGCAAATTTGTGTGGTCACTGGAGATGTATAATTGTCCTCCCAGGGAGACAGTAAGTGGCCATGGCCCCCTGCCTCTGGCCAAGCCGGATCACACTGTGCTCTCACTGTTCCATGGTTTTGCTTTCCCAGAGCTGTCCTTGGGCAGCAGCAGGGGCAGCAGCCCCTGCCATCACACCCCCACAGCACTGCAGCTCTGGCACTCCACTCCTTGGGCAGCTTTTGTGCAGAATTAGAAGGACGATGCTTTGTTTTCAGTAGGAGAATCCTGTGTTCTTTCCAGGCCACCGGACCCACCAGAGATGTTGCTGGGGGAATTCAACATCGATGGCAGCAATGTTACATAAATTACACAAGACTTTAGCGAACCTGATTTGCAGCACTGTGAGCAGAAAAAATATAGGTAAAACCGGTTAAAAAATGAAGAAAGCTCCAGCCTGGGGACTCGTTTCTGGTCTCACCGGAGTGACTTCAGCTACCTGGAGTCACAGCACAGCCAGCACAAGGTGGGCTGAGCCAGGACCTGGCTTGTCCTGCAGCCCAACCCACATGGGAGCACCGAGGAACATAAATGCCTTTCCTTTAAAGGCAATACAACCACTGACCTCTGCCACCCCGTGGGAGTGACACAGGCAGGAGCGGGTGTCCAGCTGTTCCCCATCCAGTCCACACTGGCTGCACAGCCTGGTGCCATCAGCCAGCTTCTCTCCAGTGGGGCTCGTGGGGCTGTGGGTGCAACACCTCCCTTGACTGCATCTCTGCCACTCAACCCCTGGGACTGGTGGCAATTGGCTGTTTTGTGGCCATGCCTGCTGACATTCAGTGAGCCAAGCAGAGCTGGCTATGGCCTTGTCTTACCCTGGAGCAAGGGAACAGCAAGACTTGAGCTCCTCTCATATTGGAGCAGGCTGAGGATGTCCCAGCTGCCTTCCAGGAGCTGGATGAGGATCCATCTTTGCTTTGTTTCTGCTCATTAATTTAGCCCTCCCTGCTGTGAACTCCCTTCCCTTGGGAAGCAGGCAAGCTGTGTGCCCTCTGGCAAGCAGCTCTCTGCCTGGCTTCACCAGAATTCCTCTCTGCACCTCTGTGACCACAGCCCATGAGCATGACACTGCAGGGTGCTGTGCAGCAGGACCAGATTCCAGCACGTGTGAGAGCCTCTCTCTTCTCCTGGGGCAGGAGGGAGTGCCGGGCAGTACAGCTTGGGTACATTGCATACTTGGTAAGCTGTTCCTGCCGGCTGTGCTGCGATGGGAAAGGAGGGATGGAGGAGGTCTGTGAGGATTCTTTGTTCACTCTGCAGTGAGAGACCAACCCTGGAACGGCTCCATATCCTGCACAGAAACATCAGTGCCCCTGGTAGGTGGGTGTCCCCCATCCCAAGGACAGAGGTGGTGACTGGAGTCATGCTGCAGAGTGCTTGAGACATGGAGCCTGAACGGGTGTGGAGAAGGACCTGGGGTGTGATACTGTACAGAGGGCAGTGCAAGGAGCAGTGGGAGGGATTGATGCTGGTGAATGCAGTGTCCTTCCCTCTGCCAGTCCCTGTGTAGGGTGGGCACAGAGGACATGTGGCAGCAGCCTGTCACTTTGCGCAGCTCTCAGGGAGGTTCCGCAAAATGTCCTCCAAGTTCTGCTTGTCAGCCCGGATCTCAGCCAAGTCGTTCTCAAATGCTTGGATCTTCTCCTGCTGCCGTGCTGCCTCCTGCTGCAGCTGGCTGAGCTGGCTGGCCAGGGGACCCGGCGAGGCCAGGCGCAGCCACAGCTGCTCCAGCTGCAGCCTCCCCGCGCTCAGCACTGCGTCCACCTCCTTGTCCTGCTCCAGGTTACCTGGGCAAGGAGAGACAGGACAAGGATGAGAGCAGAGAGGTGGACAGATGTTCTGGATGTACTTCATAGTACCACAAAAACTATAGGGAGTGGGAGCAGCAGGGCATGGAGGCTTTGCAGCTTCTCACTGATCACAGATAAGCAAACAGAATGGTGGCTCCAGGCAGGGTCTGGGCACTTCTCACTCTTACAAATAGGTCATTTTGCAAAATTTCTTGAATGCAAGAGTCCTGGAATGCTCAGAAATATACACATGTGATAAAAACAGGAGGAGCTGGAGCAAGACCAAGCAGCAACAAGGAGCAAACCCAGTCTAGCACAGCCCTCAGTTCTAAAGGGACCTTGCCAGCCTTTCATCCCCTGAGGATCCCAACGGAGATCAGTGTACCCAGAGCAGACATGAGCACACACATGAGCAAACCCCAGTTCATTCTTCATGAGGTTTTCCTCAAGACAGGAGCCTTAAAGAAGTTTGCTGAGACCACGGATGATCTCAGCCAAAGAGCATCCAGCTCGGCCTGGATGGCCATCAAGCAGGAGTCCCAGTAAGCAGGAGAGCCCTGGCCCCCGAGAGCCCAGCCCTCTCCCTGGAACCTGCACCCCATTTCCCCCAGGTCTCACCTAGGCTGTTCAGCAGGTTGTTCAGGATCTCAATGTCCGACATGAGTGAGCCCCGGGCTTCCTGGAGACTTTTTGCCATCTCACTCACCTCTGACCCCACCTTCCAACAGACACAGACACCCAGGTCAGGGACACCAGTGACCCTTGGCTGGATGGTAGAGGAGATCCCAGGAACATCCCCAAGGTGTTGTCCCTACAGTGGCACTCCCAAATTGAGTTGGTCCCTATGCTTTGGGTTGTGGTCAAAGCCGCTGCCATGCTCTGGAGGACACAACCTGCCTGAGGGAACCCAGCTGACCTGCTGTGCTTCCTCCAGGTCTCCCCTGAGCTTCTCTGCCATGTGCTCCTGCCGGGAGAGCTCCCACTGGGTCTCATTGGCACGCGTGGCAAGCTGGCTGGCGTGTTTGAGGGCCTGTTTGCTCTCCTGCAGCACAGCCCGTGCCCTCTGCAAAGGGACAGAGATGGGAACAGTCACCTGGGGACACACAGCCCTGCCTGCAGCAGCCTGGGTCTGTAGGTGATGGCTGCCAGCCTGGCCATGCCCAGCAGCTCCACCCCAATCCCTCAGCTCCGACCTTGGCACTCTCCTTAGAGACTTGCTCAGCCTCCCCTGCTGTCCTCTGGGCTGTGGTGGAGATGGACAGGGAGTTTCCCAGTGTCTTCTCTGCCTGTTTAATCTTCCTCTGAGCATCCACCATCACTCTGTCCCGAACAGTGGCCATCCTCCTCCTCAGGGCAGCCTGACTCTTCCGATGCCCCAGCACCTTCTTCATGCCTATGGGAGCAACCATCACCAAACTGTCCACTTCTCCCCTTCTCACCTGGTGAGAGTCAGGTGTGGCTGGAGATGCTCTGACTGGTGCCTCTTACCTTCCAAACTGGCCAGGAGGGACTCAGCCTCGGAGAGCACAGCTTTTCCTCGGGAGACAGCCATGGTGGCCATGTCACGGGCAGAGCCAGCCTGGTCCTGCAGCTGGGAGAGGAGAGAGGAGCAATGAGGCTGGGGAGTGGGTGAAGAGCTGCACCCAGCTGGGAAATGTGGGATTCAGCCTACTCCCTTTTGGCAGGCAAGCTCCTAGGGACATCTGGGGACCCAAGGGAAGATGTCTCCCAAAACATCCTCTCCCAGCTCCCTGGCTGCAGGCATGATCCCTCCAGCTGTTGGAGCAGCAGGGATGGGGGTCCCCATTCCTGTGAGCAGCATTTACCTGCTTGAAGGCACGAGTCCTTTGCAGCTCCAGGTGCAATCCAGCTGCCAGTGTGCGGGATGCCTCCACAGCCTGCTGAGCCAATGGCTCCTGGGCGGCTGCTGCCTGCTCCAGTTCTGCCAGCTCCCGTGCCAGGTCTCCAACCTGCCTTGGCAGCACCTGCTGCAGGTTCAGGAGTGCCAAAGGCTCCATGAGATCATCTCCCAGCTCAGGAGGCAGCACTGGTAAAGCAGGAGGTAGGGATGCCAGCTGGAGCTGTAGCTTGGGTGCTGCTCACCTGCCCCAGAGCAGCCACCTGCAAAAGTCTCTCAGCCAGGTCAGCATGTGCCTGTCCCACGGCTGTCAAAGCTCTCCTGGCCTCCACTGCCACCTTTGCCATGCCAGCACCCAGCTCCTCCCGTGCCCGCTGGATTTCCTCATACCTACACAGACAGGACACTGCTGTCAGCTGGGGCCCTCTGGTCCCTTGAAGGATGAAGAGGACAACTTGGCCCTGGATGTGGATGTAGCAGGAAGTTCTGGGGGCTTTTCCTGAACCCCCCAGCACACAGCACCCTGTCCCTCTGCTTCACAGCACTGTGGTGCAATGAGTTTGAAGGTGCTCAGCATGTGCCTGTGGGGCAGGTGCCAAATCCCTGTGACTGAGCCCTGTAACAAGGACCTGGCCAGAGGAAAGGGGCTCGGGTGCCCTGCCAGCCCCTCACCCGGCCTCCAGCTCATTCTGCATGTCCTGTGTGGTGTTCCTCTCCAGCAGCTTCTGCAGGAGCTCAGAGCTGGCGTTGGAGGCACGCAGTGCTCTCCTGACCACGGCCTCCACCTGTGCCATGGAGTCCTTGTGGCTGCAGGGACAAGGACACCCAGACAGAGGAGATCAGGGTTGGCCTCCTGGCAAAGGAGTGCCCCCTGCACCCCCAGCTGGGCTGACAGCTTCTGCTGCCTGTTCAACTCCTACCTCTTGGACAGAGCCTGAGCCTCCAGTGCCCAGTGGCTCCAGTTTGTGGGCTGCTGTGGGATTTCCTGAGGAATTTCCTTGGAATGCAAACAGCAGCATTGAGACCCTGGCAGGGAGCAGGCATCTCTGGACCCTGCCAGCCCAGCACCACCAAGAACCTCCCCTTTATTAGAGGACTAGAGCAAGCAAAATATCTCCTCTTGACTCAGCTGCAAGGAGGGCTATACCCACATGGACCCCAGGCTTTCCCACTCACCCACTCTGCTGGTCACATCCCACCCCAGCAGTCCTGGGAAGCACATCCCAGTGCCCCCCAGGATTGCCACCACCCTCCTCAGGAGCCCAGGGCCACTGAGAGCCCCCACCGTGGTAGCCAGGGTGTCTGCAGCATGCAGGATCTCCTGCTGAGCCGACTGCAGCACGCCCCCAATCTCCGAGAGCAAGGTGCAGGTCTTGGGGGGTCCATGCTCAGAGCATCTGGTGGCTCGGCTGGCGTTGGTGAGACGGCCTTGTGCAGTGTTCAGTGCCCCTGCCAGCTGAGCCACCTGTACCAAGAGGGTGGCCCAGGCACCTGTGGGCAGCACAAGCATTTTGTTGCCCATTGGCGTTGCTCGGGGCTCCCTGCTTCCCTGTGGAGCTGTCCCATGCTCCATCCCCTGCCTAACACCTACTAATTAAAGGGGAATATAGTCCCTCTGGTGCTCAGGAGGGACCCAGGAATTCAGAGCCCAAAGGGTACCCACGTGTTGGTACTCAACCCCCAGTAATGCCCATCACTGCCTGCTCCAAGACCTCAGTGGTGTGAGCATCCCTGCAGTGCTCTGTCCTCCCAAAAAGGCATGTCCCCTCTACTGCCCTCCCCCCTAGTCACACCACACTGAGGCCAGCGCCCACCTGGGACCTCCTTGCACCCACCCAGCGTGTCACAGCGCCCTGAGGGAGCAGAGGGTGAAATAGGTGGAAGGAAGGAGAGTCCCCTGTACCTCTCAGGAGGTGTGAGCTGGGCAGCCCATCTCCACGGGGTGCATCTCTCAGCATGGCAGTCTGGCCCGGATGGGCATCACAGCCTGGCTTCTGCAGCCATTCCTCCATCTCCTGCAGCCTGGCCTTCAGGCGCTCAGCCTGGCAGGACAGGGGGGACACGGGGGGACAGTGAGGCACTGCAGGGTGGGGTGCTGTGCCTGCCTCAGCAGTGTGCAGGCTGTACCTCATCCTTCACCAGCCCGTAGCAGGCAGGACACTGCTGGCAGCGGGAGCTCAGTGGCTCAAGGAAGAAGTTGGCCTGGCAGCGGTCACACTTGTAGCCCACGAAGCCAGGGTGGCAGAGGCAGGTGCTGTTCTCGTGGCACTGCGGGGTGATGGAGCCCAGCAGGGAGCAGTTGCAGGCTGCAATGGTGGCAGAAAGGCATCACACTGTGGCTGCCAGCCCTGCTTTAGGGACACAGGTGCAGTGCCCATTCCCGTTACCTCGGCAGCCCCTGGCAGAGAAGCCGAAGAAGCCGTGCTGGCATCGATCACATTTCTTCCCTGTGACACCTGGTTGGCAGGAGCACTGTCCTGTCAGCATGTGGCACCCGCTCTCCCGTGACCCTGTTGGGTGGCACTCACAGCTGGCATGAGAAGTGGAGGGTCATGAGCAGGCAATCAATGCAGAGAGCAGAGCTGAGAAAACGGAGCCACTCCCTGGCAGCCCCGTGCCATGCCCCACATACCTCTTGCACCCCACGGTGGGCTCCAGGCCGTAGTAGCCGGGCTGGCACTGCCCACAGGCTCTGCCTGTCACGTGTGGGAGGCAGTGGCACTGGCCCGTGCCAGGATCACAGCCCTCCAGCCTCGGGTCTGAGCCACTGGGGTTGCAATCACAAGCTGTGGGAGACAAAATAACCCTTAAATCCCAGCATGGGGCTGGTGGATGGGACAGCAGGAATGGTGCACTGGGGCGTGTGGAGCCACGTTCCCACATCAGCCAGGGCTCCAAAGAGCCCCTGCAGGCCAGAGTATCTGAGGAAGGATGGCAGTGGTGCAAGAGGGCAAAGGGGAACACGTGGGGGTAACCTGGACCATCCATCAGCCCCTAAACCTGCTGGGCATCCCCTTCCACCCTCTGCCTTCACTGCTGGGAGGATTTTGGCTGCAAGTGAGCTGTGCCCGGGGGCTGTACGTACGAGCACACTTCCCAGCAGGGCTGGGAGCCAGCGCATCCCCGTAGAAGCCCGGCTGACAGCTCTCGCAGTGGTCACCCATTGTGTTGTAGAGGCAGCGCAGGCATCGGCCGGACACGGGGTCACAGTTCCCCACGGCGTTGGGATCCACGTTCCCGTGGCACTGGCAGGGCTCACAGGGATGCACGGCACCTCTCTGACCCAGGGGGTCCCCGAAAAACCCGTCATCACAGAGCTCACAGCGTTTTCCTGGCGAAGGTGGAAAGGTGGGGAGGATCCAGCCGTGCCCACGCTGCCCACAGCCCCTGTGCCCACCCAGCCCCAGCCTCACCTCTCTGCCCCGGGGGGCAGTGGGTGCAAACCACCTCCCCACTGCTGGGCACCTCGGTGCAGGGCGAGCGGCCGGGGCAGGGGCAGGGCTTGCAGTCATCAGAGCGCCCTAGGAAGGGGTTGCCGTAAAAGCCGGGGCTGCAGCGCTCGCAGGAGGGACCCTCTGTGTTGTGCAAGCACTGGCACTGCCCTGCGGGGAGGAAAACGGAGCTGAGGGTCCGCGAAAACCCAACCCCGAATAACAGCAGGGACTCCGGGAGGGATGGAGAGCCCAGCGCTGAGCGTGGCGAGAGGGATGCGCAGCTCCAAGCGAGGGGTTGCACATCTCCAACCAGTACTCGGGATATTTTCCCTCCTTGCCCTGTCTTTGGTCGAAGGAGAACGTTTTGGAGAGGACACGGAGGCCACAGCGATGCAGGGACGAGGCAGCGCTGGCACAGACAGCACCATCAATGTGTGCGGAGGCTGCCGGCGCCTGCCGTAATCCACAACACATTTCCGAGTGTCGAGGCGCGTCCTTTCCAGCCCGCCTTGGAAAACACAAGCAGCCGGGCCGGCACCCACCGGGGAGCATCTCCTCCAGAGCGAGCCGAGCCGGTGAGTCAGCCTCCCGAAATCGGCTGTGAGGAGGAGAGGGAGGAAGAGGAGGAAGAGTGCCCAAGGAACCCCCCACCTCCAGGCAGATGCTCTGCTTCACTGGAGAGAGGAGTCGGGGGGAGGATTTCCCCCCGTGTTTTGTGGGGTCGGGTCATACCAGGAAGGCTGCGCAGGAGGGGGTGTTATTCCATTTTCCCCACATCCAGGCAGAGTCAGACGATGGAAAATAAAGAAAAAGCGGGTGGCAGGAAGAAGTGGAAAAATAAACTAAAGGAACTAAAGGAAGTGCGCAGGCTGGCAGCGCCCAGGCCGGAACATCAAAAGCCTGGCCCCATCCCTGGGGATTGTGCAGTCGGCGGCGCCAGCCCCACTCTGCGGGATGAGGGCGGGTTTGCAGAGCTGCTGCCGTGTTTTCGTGGGCAAGGCAGGGGCATTCACCGAGCACTCTGCCTCCTCCAGCCCTCTCCATCCCTGCCACACATCATTTATTGAGGAGAGCCAGCCACCGAGGGGTTGGGCTGGCAGCACAAGAGCTGGCTCCTCTGGTGTCTTTCTTCTGTGTTTTCCTGCTTTTTTCTTTGTTTCTCTGCTCAGGTTAACCTCAGTTTGCAGATTCCAGAGCTGCACGCAGTCCTGCTCCTCTCATCGGACAGTGAAGCTGTCTGTGAGACCCAGCCTAGCAAAACCCTCTCTGCTGCCCTGACCCTTGCTCCCCTACTCCTCTGAGCACCAGCACCCTTCCCTTCCTTACAAGTCATAAAGTATCATGAAAAATGCTCCTCTAATTATAAATTACCACCATTACTGCACTCCATTAATAATCTCCATCTTTGCAGTTACGAACCCTGTCCCTAGAACCACCCAAGCAATTCAACTTGCAAATTTTGGGAACCACAACCTCACCAATAGTTCCCAGCTTCCCTCAGAACAAGCAAAGGCACGGATTTGTTCCACCCACGCATGGAGCAGCAGGTGAGTGGCGGGCCCGGGGGGTGCACACCTGTGAGGGGGTGGCAGTCCCCGTGCTGGTTGCAGGTGCAGGGCACGCAGCTGACGAAGGGGCCGCCAAATGGGATCTCCCTCTTGAATCCAGGTGCGCAGGACTGGCAGAACTGCCCGGTGTATCCCATGGGACACGTGCACTCCTCCACCCAGCCCGCCCGAGTGCCTGGCCCGGGGCGAGCAGATGTGAGCTGGACCTCGCTCAGGGACAACCTGCCTGTGAGAGGGGAGAGCGGCGTGGGAATGGGATGGTGAATCCCCTGCTCTGCTCTGAAATGCTCCAGACAGGCACAGGAGACCCCAAAACACCTCCTTGAGAGCCCAGGGGTGTTCACAGAGAGGAGGCAAACCCTGCCCCAAAACACCCCCGACAATCCCTCTCATCCTTGAGAGCCTGATGCTGCATGGATGTCTACAGTCCCACCCCGGGCTGTCCCCTTGGGGACATTCAGTGGAGCCACCCACCTCTCACGGGGCCGCGGCTCACGCGGAGGCGGAGGGAGGTCAGGTTGGAGAGCAGGCGCTGGAAGCTGAAGGCCGACAGCAAAGGCTCCGCACCCTCCTCTGCCTCGTGCAGCCTGTTGGAGAGGGAGCGGAGGAGGCAGGACAGGGCCAGCCTGAGCTGGGTGCTGCAGGACAGCTCAGCTCCTGGCTGGGACCCAGGCACTGCACAGTTAAATCCCCAAGGGGGGCAAAGAGCAATAAAGGGCAGCCCAGACAAATCAGGCACTGAGCCCTAAATCCCACTTTTCCCAAAACTCTGTGATGGGCACCTGAAGGTGACAGCCCGCTTTCCATGCTGGAGCTGGCTCTTGCTGCTGGACATGGTGATCTTCATCCCCTCGCCCTCCAGCAGCAGCTGGACCTGGAGCAGGGGCACCCCGGGTTCTGTTCTTGTCCTGTTCTCCACTCCCAGCAGCAGGGACAGGAGCTGCCCGTAACTGAGGCGCTGGTTCTGCAGAAACTTCTCTGTGAGAGGAGAGAGGAGCAAAGTCTGTAGGACATGGAGGCACCAGCTCTGCCGGGACTGCCAGTGCAGTCCTATTCTCACCACCACCATCAGGAGCCCCAGTCACCCTCCTAGAGTGGTGCCAGCTCCAACCTGCCCTCCTGGGATCCTGGTCCACTGTTCCAATAACCTCCACTGTCCTCTGCTACAGAAACATGCTCAGCTCTGGAATGGAGCCCAGTGCCTCCTGCACCAGCATAACAGTGGGATGAGAGCAGCAGGGAGTCCTCATGGCAGAGCAGCCCCCCAGGAACCCAGCTCACACAATACCTGGTGCAAGAAAATCCACTGGCTCCTCTCCGTCCCACTCAGTGATGATGTCCCGGCCAACCCAGTGCAGAGGCAGGTCTGTGATGCCTGGAGCTGTGGCAGCCCAGCCCTCCAGCCCTGTGTGACAGGATACAGTGACAGGCACAGCTAAGGGAGCAGTGAGTCCCTGCCAGCACAGCACCAGCAGGGTGCTGCTTTCAGGGGCTCTGTCCCTCCTCCCAACACTCTCAATTCTTGGAAGGGGCCAGCGCTTTGTAATACCCTGCCCCACTTGGGCTCTGTGCTCTCATGCACTGGAAGGTAGCCTTAACCACTCCTCATCTATTTATTTTCTTAGATTTGGAGGAAATTATTATCTTTAAACTTTTGCCCTCCTGCCTGTGCTGCCATTCTAACATTACTGTGGGCTGGTGAGCACAGGAAGCCTGAGGAGAAATGCTGGAGAAGCCCAGAAGAGACGGGGTGTAGCTGCATTAAGTTGGTTTCCTTTAGAAACCAGTTAAACTCCCCCTCACTCTGCAGGGTTAGTTATTTCTTCCAGGCAGGACAAACACTTGGAAATCTCTCAAGTGGGCTGTGTTCTATTACCAAATTATCCCAAATTTATACTTTCACCCAGTATAAGAAAATTCCATCTGATCCCCCTCCATTGTGGACTGGGAAATGTTTTGGGGAGCTGGAATTTAGGAGGGTGCTGCGGCCACATCTCAGCTCAGAAACTGCCAAACCAGTCCCCAAAGGAGCAGCCCCAAATTGGCTATGTGGAGGACGGAAAAAAAAAAAGACTCGTTTTAAAGCCTGGCTCAGTTTCAAGGCCGTGGAAGACATTCCAGCAGCACAGCAATTGGCAGCGCGGTTTGAAGGCAATTAAGATCCACCCGTGCCTGGCGCATTCGTATCCATCTGGGAACAGGGAGGCAGAGCGGGGTGCCTGCCGTGGGTGCCCGTCCCTGCCGTGTCCCGCAGCGGGGCTGCACACGCCGGCGTGCGCGGCAGATGGCAGGGTTTCCCCAGCATCCCGCACGCGTCCAGCCCTGCCAACAGCCGGGCAAAAGCACCACCTCCCGCCCGTCCCGCCGAGCTGTCACATCCCAGCCGAGCATGGGGAGAGAAGGGAATAATTGGGGAAGTTCCCAGCAGGCACCGGACTATTATTTTTTTGCATTTCTGAGCTGATCTTTAGTGTTCCTGCAGTCCCTGGTGTGGTGCAATGTCCATGTCTGGCCCCACAGCCCTCCCTGAGCCACGCACAGCCCCAGGAGCAGGTTGGCATGGAGGGGTGGCACGGGGAGTCACGGATACCCTGTCCCCGCGGAGCTGGGGGCAGAAGCAGAGGTGTAACAGCAAAACAGGGGCAAGCCGGAGAAATCCCTCTCCACCCATCACCATCAGTTAGTTCCAAAGTGAGGTGCTCAGTCACAAAGAGGGACATTCAGCCACATCCTTCCCAAATACTTTTGGCTGAAACTGGCAGAGCAGTGCCCTCCGTTTCATCTGGGTCGTTACCTTGGCTGAAGTCGGAGCGGATGTGGGTCTCCTCGTAGCCATCTGCTGCCCTGCAGGCGCTGGAGTGGCCGTAACAAAAGCAGCTGGTGCAGCCGATGGGGTTGTGGGGCTGCAGGTTAAACCAGCCAGGCTGGCACCTGGACACGGGGAGGAAACAGGAGTATGTGGCACAGGACAGGCAGAGCTGCAGGGAACCACGGCAGTGTCTCTGTGTGGGACACTGGTGACAGCTCCTGTCAGCCCAGTCCCAGTGGTCCAGAGGAATGCAGCCCCACAGCCTTGCCACCAATTTCAAGCCTGGAAAGGGACAGTGTTCCTGTCCCCATGCCAGGGCCAGGTGCTCACCTGTTGCACAAATGCCCCTCCACCCTCTCCTTGCAGGTGCAGTGCCCCGTGTTGGGGTCGCAGGTGCCCACGCTGCCCGCGGGGTCACAGGTGCAGGGTCTGGATGGGGTGAGATGAAGGCAGGAGGTGAGCCCCGGTCCCATCCCGCTGCCCCTGCCCAGGGCCGGGTTCCTCCTCACCTGCAGCCACCTTCGCTGAGGCTGTGGTAGCCGTCCTTGCAGCGCTCACACTTCCAGCCCGTCACGTTGGCTTTGCAGACGCAGGTCCCCGAGTTGTCGCACTGGGGCTGCAGGGAACCTGCGGGGACCCCGGCCAGCCCTGAGGCTCAACCCCAGCCGGGGAGAGACCGGGGGAAATGGGGAAACCCCGAGAGAATCCGCCAAAACCATCCCTCCCAGCAAACTCTGCAGGACAGAGTTTGGGTCATCAGTAGTTTTGCAGCCGGAGCTTGGCACAGCCGCACGCACCTGCGGGGTGGCAGTGGCAGGGCTGGCAGGCTCCCTGCGGCTCCCAGCGGTAATAGTTCTGCCTGCAGCTCTCGCAGTGGGGTCCGGCCGTGTTGTCGCGGCAGTTGCGGCAGTGTCCCCCGTGCCCGCTGCGCCGGAACAGCTCCCGGTCGTAGAAACACTCCTCCGAGCGGCCGCTGCAGTTGCAAGCTGGGGGAGAGGTGGGAGGACAGGTGGGCTCCTGGAGGGCACTGGAGGTTATGGCAACCTCCTGTGGGGTCGGATGGGCCAGAGGGACCCCTGGGCTCAGCAGTGAGAGCTTCCAGAGGTGCCTCTGCCCTTGGAAGCAGAAGTGGGTGCAGTACAATGCATGGAGCAGATGGCTGCACTCGTGGGGTAAAGGGAATGGAAATACTCGGGGTGCTGCAGTGAAGGGGAGCCCCGGGGTACAAATCCTCCCTCCCTCCCAAAATGGAGCAGGTGTAGGAAGGGCAGGAGGTGCCAGATGAGCTGATGCAGCACCAGCACAGCCCATCAAGGCCAGCCAGCGCTGTGGCCACAGAGTCACCCAGGGATACTCACGGAGGCACTCGTTGGCAGCCTCGGCCGTGCCGCGTGCCCAGGGCCGGTCCTGGTAGAAGGGCTGGCAGCGCTCGCAGTCGGTGCCAGCCGTGTGGTGCTGGCACACACAGACCAGCTGCCCGGCCTCGTCCGGCGCGCACTCACTGGCGTGGCCATGGCATTTGCACCTGCGGTGAGACCCACCAGGGCAGCGGTGTGGGCAGAAGCAGCAGCAGTGAGACGGTGCCCAGGCTGTGCAGTGTGTGACCCTGCTACTGGGCTGGCTGTGGGGTGAGAGCAGCTCGGGCTGTGCTGGCCTTGAGGCCACCCGTCGTGTCCCCGAGGCTCTCCCAGCCTGGCCAGTCGGGAGGTCACACGCCGAGGGTGGCCCGTGCTAGCCAGCTGCAGCTGCTGACCCCGGAGGTGGGACAACAGCTACAGGTCTGCCTGGGGCAGACAACGCTCTCAGGGATGGGAAAATTTTCCACTTCTCCCAGCTGGGGAAGGGAATGTGCAGCACAGCCCAGAGGCAGCACCAAGTGGGTGCCACCTGCATCTCTATCCCACATCTGCTGCCCTTTCCTGCTTGCAACTGGTGCAGCTTCTCTGCCTGTGGCCATGCTGACTCCAAGCTCCTCCAGCAGCCTCTGCAGCTTCAGGTCATCTTTCCACTAGAACCCCATGGCTCCCCTTTTGCAGTGCCCAGGAACCAGCAGGGTCACAGGAGGAACAACACAAGCCCCAGTGTCATTAAAAGCCATTGGGCTGGGAGAGAACAAAGCAAATACAGCTGGTGGCACATGGAGCGGGACAGTGGGCAAAAGACAATCTTTCTGCAAAGCTGGGAGGTCTCCAAATTTAATCACCCATCTCTGCACTTCCAGCTCCAGCTTACACATGGAAGAAGCAACATCTGAGCAGTTTGCCCCAAAATCCCAATTCAGACAAGACTGAGGTGGGGAGCAGCTGCCCCAGTCCCACAGCCCCAAGAAGATTCCCATACTTCTGCCTGGCTGCCCCTCACCTGCCACCAACGGAGAAGTCAGATATGGCATAGTAGTACGACTGCAACACCTTGGGGTCCTTGAAGATGTCGTCCCCAAATGTGTTGAGCCGGTTCAAGGAGATGAGCAGGTCAGTGACTGTCACCCACTCCTGCAGGGGACATGGGGAAGCCACTTGGTGGAGAGGTCTGGGCCACCAGCTCCCCCCCAACTGGGACACATCCTGCAGCTTTTCAAGCAGGGATGCATCTCATAGGAGACAGACCCACCCTGCTGTGACCCTCTGCCAGCCACCCAGTGGGCACCACAGCCTGGATTATCCCAACAGCATCACCAGCACTTTTACCCCAGCTGGGTGCAATAATGCCCTTGATCCCAAGGCTCCATGCACCACGCCCCCTCCCATCCTGGTGGCACCTGCAGCGCGGGACTTCCATCAAAATTGTAGGCGCTGGGCCGTCCCTCCAGGGTGGAGAAGGCCACGTTGCCCCCGCTGAGGGGGGAGATGTCGCTGAACTCGTCGCTGCAGAAGGCCACCTGCTCGTCCTCGCCCGGCCGCTGGTACTGCCGTGGCTGCTTCCCGTAGGTCTTCTGGCAGGACGCGCTGTAGAACTGGAAGGGCACCCAGGGCCCCCCGGCACGGCTGCGCTTGTAGATGGCGAAGCTCTCGGGGCGGCTGGTGTGGAACTTCAGCCGCACGTAGGTGATCTCGTAGGCTTTGCCTGGGGATGGACACGCCATGCTGCGACCCTCTGCCGGCCACCCGATGGGCACCGCAGCCTGGGTTATCCCAACAGCATCCTGCAGCACCCACCACAGCCAAAAATGGACAAATCGCCACCCCTACCCAGCTGCCCTCAACCAGCTCCTCCTTGGTGCAGCCCAAACCCTGTCCAGATCCAAGCTGGCTCTCGCCCCAGTGCAGGGCCCACCCCTTGTGTGGTGCACTGGGTGGGTTGCATGGGGAAAGAGCAGTTGCAAATCCAGGCTCTATCCAGCAGCTGTGGGGGAGAGTTAGGCCTACAGCACTGAAAGCATCCCCAGGATGGTGGAGCTTCAGGGATGGAGAGTTGGAAAAGGTCAAGGCCAATCCCTTCCCAGGGAGTTGCGTGCCAGGACCTGGCATCGCTTCCATCTTTGCTGGGATGAACACAAAGAGAAGCCACCAATCCTTGGGGTGTCCGGCGAGCTCTGAAAGAGCTTGAAAGGATTAGCAGAAAGGAAAAGAGAAAACACCAAAGTGAACATCAGACCCACTTAATTGCCAGAGATGAAGGACCAGCTCAAAGCCCGAATTGCTCCATAACAGCACCACTCCTGACAGCACAAAACAATTAGCTGCAAGGTTTTGGCTTTATTTGAAAAGATAATGAGTTGGGAATGTTAGAGGGGTTATTCCGGGACTAGGAAAACAAGCCTTTAATTGGGCCCATATGAATACTGTCGCGTATGTGCTGCGACTTTGCTGCGGGGGAGCCGAGGCAGCCGGCTACCAGCGCTGGGAAAAGCAGCTGCATCCCATCAGGGATGCAGGAAGCGCCCGGCAGCGCCTGGAGAGGGGGACAGACCCACTCCCAGCCCACCCGGAGGTGACGAGGGCCAAGAAGGGGCTGCAGAGGGGCTGTCCCACCCTTGCCTTGTGCCTCTCCCCTCCCTCTGGGACTGCTCCGGGCTGGTGACAGCGGGGGTGCCCCTGTCCTGCACCCGGTGCAGGGCGGACGCCTGGCAGGCGCCGGTTCCCAGACAGCGTGGTCCCAAGGGGGTTGTCTACCAAAACAGCGAGGTCGGGGCCGTCACCTCCCGGGGCAGTTTCCTCTGGGAGAGGAAGGGAAGGCAGGGCTGTGTCAATAAACTGCCCCAAGTGGCCCCGTGCGAGGGGAGGGGACGGCCACGCTGGGAGAGCCCCATTTTGGTGCCTCCAGCTGGGATGGAGCAGATTCACTTTTCTGAGGAATTTTCGTGAGAGGAGAGATTTGGCTGATTAAAAAGCCTGTCTGAGAATTTTCATGTGCTTTTCCCAGACAGGCTTTTTAATCAGCCTATTTCTCCTAAGGAAAAAACCAAAGATCCAGAAAATAGACCAGGCTGATTGTCTCCTCTTTACTGCTCAGGTGTGACATGTCCCAAAGCCAGATGTGCTGCTGGACAGTGATGCTGGGAAGGGTGCACAGGCAGCACCAGGACCCCTGGGTGCTCTCCCAGCTGTGCTGTCACCTGAACAAAATACGCACCTGCCTTTCCCTGAACTCAAACTGCAGCTTGTACTGCTCTGGGGCTCCAAGAAGAGAATTCTGGAGAGGAGGAAAGGAGCATGTGGGACAGTCACATCACCTACGTGTCCTGTCATCTCAAGTCCCACAGGAAAATCAAGAGTCACAGACACAGATAGTGCCTGATCTAGACAGAGAGGAGGAAAGGAGCATGTGGGACAGTCACATCACCTACGTGTCCTGTCATTTCAAGTCCCACAGGAAAATCAGAGTCACAGACACAGCTAGTGCCTGATCTAGACACTCCAAAGAGAGCCATTGGCATTCAGATTGCTTCCTGAGGAGCCCTGGTGTCTGTTGCCTTTGCAAGCCACGGATATTTTGGGATCCTTCCTGACGTCTGACAGGGCAAATACAAGAGCTGTGGACACTTGGGATGATCGACCAGCTGCGAGCCCACTGCACCATAACAGCATGGCTGGAACCTCACGGAGAGAGGAGATTTAAAGGAGCATAATCTAATTAACGCCAATCAACAACAGGCAGGTAAACACGGGTCTTGTCCAAGTCATCCCATGTCTTATTTAATAAGCTCCCCAGGCAACCACGCTGGAGAACTTACAAGAGGTGTGACTGAGCAAGACAGGCAGGCTGAGGGGACACACTACATGGGATGAAACACCCAATTACTTGGTGGAGCTCAGGAGCAAGGACTCAGCCCAGGCTGCATTCCAGGGACTGCAGTTGGGCTTTTCCCGCTTAACCCAAGTGAAAGCATTAAGGCTGCAATAAAATCATTTGGGGCTGGGACAAGAACAGGGCCTGGCAACTGTGGGAAAGGTCAGACAATGATGTGCCAAGCACCAATAGGGTATTTTTTAGCATGGCAAGGAAAAGGAGGATGCAGGAAGAAGGGTACAATGGCAGAGATACTCCAGCTTATGAAGGGCTATAGGGACGGGCTGGAAGATGAGCTTGGTTCAGTGCTTTAGCCTTGGCTGTGTTAACAGACAGACACAGCAGGGCAGTCACAGGGACTGGACTCCACTGGAACCCCAGTGTGGGGTCCAAGAAGGACCACAGAGGAGCCAGGGAAGAGCTGGAAGAAGGACAGAGGAGGGGAAAGAAGCCCCGGGGCTTGCAGAGCCCGCACATGTCGCTGTGCTGAGCTGGGACTGGTGGCCACAAAGTCGCCCAGCGGCAGCTGGCTCAGCCACACAGGCTGCACTCGGGTGGTCTGTGCCCCGGGTCACCCACGAACGGATTCGGGACAATCTGACAGCCTGCGTTAGGTGGACAAGAGGCCGGGAAATGCCCCCTGTCAGGGCTGGCAGGAGCAGGGAGTGAGGATGGCAGGCTCACCGTGCCCGGCGGGGAGCCCGGCCCCAGCCCGGGGACAGCACCAGATGTCCAGGTCCCGCAGGGGGCTGGGAAAGCAGCGACCTCCACCCAGCCGGGCAGCTCCCTCACTGCCGGGGCAGGCACGGACCCTCCACCGCCACCCCGAGCGCGCTGGGTCCCACCAGCAGCGCTCAGTGCCACATCGACACCCAGCTGTGCCCTCAGCAGCTCCAGCCGCAGCCCCTCCACTACCCGCCTTCGGCATGCAGATGGCAGGAGACTGCAGAGAATGAAGATTTTACAGCGCTGGCCAGCGGCCAGGAGAGTTTAGATGGCAGGAAAATGTTATAAAACCTTTTTAAAATGCCAGGCATGCCCCTTGGGTTTAGGTACCCTCCCGGTGGGCGGCTTGCGCGGTATTTAAAACACAGAGGGTCGGATGCCAGCTGGGGAAACCTACTGGGATTGCACGGTGTGTCTGGAGCTCGGCACCCTGAGCCATACCAGGCACCCTGAGCAACGCACGGGGGAGAAACAGGAGGGGCTTGGCACCCATGGCAGTCACCCTCCCCGGGCAAGGCTCTCCCAGGGTAGGAACCATCTGCCTCCTGCTCCGCAGGCTTCCATAATCAGAGAAAAAAAGCAGCCTGGGGTGAAGGGGGGAGCAGGCACTCTGGGCATGGCTGGCTGGGAAGCAGCACAGACAGGCACAGCTCCTGGCATCCTGGGGCTCGGCTGATGGACAGGGGAGACTCCCCGAGTCCTTTCAGTGCTTTGCAGAGTGCAGCTCCCTCCACACACCCCCTAAAAAGCCCTAGGGAGGGTGCTGTCCTTAATCCAGCATTGGCAGCAAGAGCTGCAGGGTGCAGGAGCACCCACCCCCATCTCTGCACCCCGATCTCGACGCAGCCTCCACCGACACGGCCCGGGCTCCTGCTGGCACTTACCCAGGCGCAGGGTGATGTTGACGGAGTTGGGGTACTGGATGCCAAAGGCCATGGACTGGCTCTGCCACCAGGTGCTCTCCTCCTGGCTGTGGAAGTCGGTGAGGAAGGAGGCGTTGTGGTGGCGCCGGGGGTCGCTGGCGTCGCAGCGGTGGCACAGGGCGCTGGCGTGCTGGGTGCCCATGTGCAGGCAATAGTCCTCCGGGGGTGACCCGCACGTGTTGGTGGCCTGGACGGCCCGGCCGAAGGCGGCGTTCTCGAAGACGGGCATGCAGCGGCGGGGCTGTCCCCGAGGGTCCCAGCAGGGGGACGAGCCCCCCGCCCCCAGCCCCAGCCCCAGCAGGGCCAGCAGGCAGAGCCCGGGAGGCCGTGCCATGCCGCGCCTCTCCCGGCCGGACTCTGAGCCTCCTCTGGATGGCAGGGCGGCAGCAGGCGGGACGGGATGGGATGGGACGGGGTGGGATGGGATGGGATGGGATGGGACGGGTCCCCCTACCCGGCACCTCCTCTCGCTCCGAGGTCCATCTTGTGGAAGCTGCTGGGAATGTCGAAATATTCGTGTGTGAGGCAGAGATGTGGAGTTTGGAATCCCTGCAGGACATCCTAGTCCCCAGACAAAGGGGATGGGACCATCCAGTGCTCCATCCCCAAAACAATTCCATTGCTTTGTGGATTGGGGATTTGCGTCTTCAGCTGTGTGGGCATAGCTGAGCTCCTCCATTTCTCAGCCCTGGGAATGAGTTTGTGGTGCCTCACATGAGGCTTTTTCCTTCAATTGGTAGGGGTCACCATTATTCTTGCAGCCCCAAAATCGAGAGGAGAATAGGAAAAGGCTTTGAAAGAGATTCAGCACCTTCTTCACCCCACACCAATTTATGGGGGGCATCGACTGCTTTCCCGCTTACACCAGCCTGCCTGGGTCTGTGACACCCCAACTCCTCCACACCAGCACCCTCGAGTGGGGGGTCCCATCCCTGCCTGTTGCCCTAAGCCAGCCCAGTCCTCCGGACCCAAGTCAGGGCACCTTCCTGTGGAGGCATCTCCATGGGGTGGCAAAACCAGATCATCACCAGACCTCATTAGCAGCTCTCAGCTAATGCTAATTATAGTCTGTGCCAAGGGAATCCCTCTGGCGACCATGGCACCCTCCAGATCTGACCCGTGACAGCAAACAGGGAGAGAGGCAGCCTGGCACGGTGCCATGCCCCTGGGCAAACCCTGACCCACACCCCACGGGGCTGCATTTGCAAAAGTGGGATGCACAGGGGATCTCTGCCTCTGACCCCCACACCACTTCTTTGAGCTGCCCACAGGGCCTCTGGAAACTTAGTACTCATTTATAATTTAAGCTCCCTTCCTCCCCTTCCCTTCTACTCTTATTTATTTTATTCTCCTTCCCCTACACACTGCAGGAGAAAGCACCAGAGGGGAGCTGTGAATCAGAGTCCTGGGCAGCGGCTCCCGCAGCAGCGCCGTTTCAAAGCCCCATTATCATATATTGACCCAGGCTCTGACAGCCAGAGCCAGCTCCTCTGGGAAGGCTGAATTTCCCAGCATCCAGGAGCTGTGCAGCAGCTGCCTGGGAGTGGGCGGCCAGTGGGAAACCCACTGTCAACCTCCGGGGAGAAGGAGAAAGGTTTGCAGCTCAGTAATTGCCCTGCGCGTTTCCACCACCAGTTTTGATGGGATTTGTATCCTGCAGAGATGAGGTTTTCCAGGTGTTTTGCTTTTCCCGTGGTGCTGAGGTTGTAAGCTCAGGACAGGAGATAGAATCATAAAATACTCTGAGTTGGAAGAGACCCAAAAGGATCATTGAGCCCAACTCTTAAGTGAATGACCCACATGGGGACTGAAGCCAGGACCTTGGCACTATTAGCACCGTGCTCTAACCAAATCTTTTGTGCCAAGGGTTTGCCTCCTTCTCCTTGGGATGCAACACACATACCTGAGAGGGTTTGCCTGCCCCTGTTACAGAGGGGTCCATGTTAAAGAGTGATGGCACCACACAACCGGGGCTTGGGATGCTGATGAGTATCCCAATGTCACCAGTCTCCTCCTCCCACTGGGCGTGGGGGGATGGCCCACAGGACCAGAGCTCGGTGGGAACTGGGGTGACACTGCTGTGCTCAGCAGTGGGGGTGCTGCAGCTGGGGTGGGAACTGCACATTCCCAGATGGATTCAGCTGTACCCCAGACTGGACAAGCCCTCACCACATTCCTGCCACGTAGTGGGCACAATTTTGTCCCTTGCCCAAGGGGATGCCCTACACTTGCTGTGGTCCACTGGTAACAAAGCCCAACCTCACCTGAAGTCCTCTGTACCTGGAGATACTCCATCCAATGCTCCAGAGATTTGGTCCAAGCACTCGAGGGATGTGGTGACCAAGGTTGTGATGACACCAACTTGTCCATGAGCCTTCTTCTGCCCCAAAGCAGACCTGGAACCCCTCAAGGGTTAAAAGCCATGGAGGCGGAGAGGAGAAAATGTTCTTCTGATTTGCTTAATGAACGTTAATTAAGAAGACAGAAGATAGCAGATTCCTTCAGGGTAGAGATGAAAGGCCCGTTAATTAAATCTGGAGAGCAGGAACAGGGCCAACTGATCCTCCTCCTGATCAGACCTGACAAGGCAGGCGCGGGGTAGGAGCGAGGTGTGCCAGATCCCACAGCCCTTCATGTCCCACAGCCCAGCTCCAGGCTGGCAGCACAGCCACGTTTTGACAGGGTTTGTGGGTGCCACCTACCTGCCTCCAGTGCCCGTGAGGCTGAGGGTGGCCCCATCCATGCCCTGGAGGTGGGTGAGAGCTGGGTCAGTGCCCCTGGCTCCACTGCACTCCTGGAGTGGTTCTGTTCTTAGTTTCCAGCAGGATCCTCTCCCAAAGGGATGAGCTGACCTTGCTGGAGGAAGGGGAACACAGGATGGCCAGCTCCATCCTGAGGAAGAGGAGGAGAAGGTTTGGTCACCCAGCTTGGTGGTGCCACCACGCACGGGAGCTGGCCACAGGTTAAATGGGAGAGGGTCAGGAAGGCACTGACCACCACCTTGTGCCATGGAGGGACAAGCCCCTGGGAGGGACACCTGCCTGTGTTTCAGCACACACACTGCCCCACCTTCCTGGAGCAGGCAGCTCCTTCCACCAGTGATTTGCCAAAAATGTTTTTTGTGCCTGTAGCTCAGACCTGGGGGCTGGGGCACAGTAACAGTATTCTGCTGGCAGCCTGCTGCCTCCATGCTCTCCTCCCGCTTTCAGCACAGCCTTATTTTTAAAAGCAGAGCACTTGACCATCCCAAATCACAGCCCAAAACCCACAAGAGCCCCACCTGGCCCACCCTGACACTGTGGCCAGTTCCCTTTCCCCCTGCATCCCTCACCCTGGGGCTGCAGCAGGGGTTGGAGGCAGGCTGAGCTGCAGGATGCCACGAGCATTCCAATGAGCACAGACACTGCTCTGCCGCTCTCCCGGCACAAACAGCCCTGCAAGAGAGTGCAGCTGGGGTGGCAGGGTGCTCTTTACCACAAACAGCAGCCCCTTGGGCAGAGAGGAGGAAAGGACAGCTGCCAGCACCCCCTCCAGCTCTGCCGACCACAGAGTGAAGACCCCATCTTCAGTGCAGTGGGAAACTGAAGCTGCGGTGTAAATAATGGCTGAAGCATCTCTCGTGTGCACTGGCTTAGTTTGTAAACCTGAACTTTGCAAAATGTCACAAAACGGAGAAACGAGAGGCCTGGGATGAGTAAATCTCTATTAGAAATTCCCTGGGATGGCAGCAGTGATGTTCTCGCTCGATGATGGCACATTGCAGCCCAGCCCAGCCCGGGGAGCGGGGTCATGCGTGGCGCTGATTGCAGAAAGTATTTAATTAACACTGCCGTAAAGGCAGCGCTGGAGATGCCAGCCACACCACGGCGGGCCACGACGCTGCTGAGCTGCAGGAAGTTTTGCCAAGGCTGACAGGAGATGAGGGAGGGCAGAGAAAATGCAGTAGATTTTGCTCCCTGCTTCGCCACAGCCCTCAAGGGGCAAGGGGAGGATGGGACAGTGGCACTGTCAGGATGTCCCCTGAGCCAGAGGGCTTCACTCTCAGTGCCCAGACAAGTGGGGAAACCCCATCATGGGTAAAGGAGCTCTCTCCCAGAGCAATTGTCAGGACACACATCACCATCCTCTTCCCTGATGCACAAACGGTCTAAAGTCACCTTTTCAGAGATAATCATCCCCAAATTCTCTCAATACCTGGCAGACAGTGAAAATAGGAACATCTCAGCTTCACTCGTGCATGACCACAAGCTCATCATCTCACTGATGAGCTGCACTACTCCAGATCTGACCCAGCTCAAGGACACAGGGTGACAGCCAAGCCACCACTGTCCCCAGGACACACATTTCACCCATCGCTTTGGGCTCAGGAGGCCGGGGAGCACGGCAGGAGCAAGCACCAGGTCAGAGCAGGACCAGCCGGTTTCAGGCACAGCCAAAAAGGACCTTTTCTCTCCTGAGCTCATCAGCAGCTTAATGACACTGGCTAAAAAGCTTCAGAGTCCCTAATCGCTCATCATATTACGGCTGCTCACGAGTGAGGCCAACCAGCACAAACCTCCTCGAAGCCTTTCTAATTAACGAGCAGAGGCTTAGGCTCTCCCAGCCCAAAAGCAGCATCTCAGATAAAACCAGCAGCCTCCTGCCAGCCCCAGTCCCTTTGGTAAACCCTTTTAATGGGCTTGTCAGCATTACCTGAGGCCACTCCATTGGCTAGCAAGGCACATCTGTCTGTCTGTCCCCCCCTGCCTCTGTGCTGTGGGTGGGGAGATGTCCATCTGCCCGCCCATCCATCCATCCATCCATCCATCCATCCATCCATCCATCCCCACCACGGCAAAGCCATGGGATGTTCCTGCCATGGCTGCTTCTAATCCTCTGCTGGATCCCTGGACATGTCCCCTGCCTACCCCATCCATGAGGTGCCCGGATTTCCCCTTCACCAGGAGGGTGGGTGACAGCTGAGCAGCAGCAGATGCCACCAGATGGTCACCACAATGAGGGACCCGGCTAAACTGGTGACTGGGAGGACACTGGAGCCCCTCATTTGCTAAGTGACTCCCTGTACTGGTCCCAAGGGGAGCGAGCTTGGGATGGTGGCACTGAGCTGCTGCCCACAAAGCCTCCAGGACCTTTGCAGCACTGAAACACCTCCACTGGCACTGCCACAAAGGTTTGTGGCCACAGTCACAGCCTGGGCTGTCCCCTGAGAGTGGCTGAGCACTCACACCTCATCACAGAGATGGTTTCTCAGGGGGCTTTGGAAAATCAGGCTTGGGAAGCACTTAAGAACTTTGTAAGCCTGCTTTAAGCCTGGGGGCTTTCCCACAGCCCCCC